ACGCCGGCTCCCTCGGCCAATAAAGCGAGATGAGCACCGCAACCCCAGAGTCGGCCACGACTGGACCTAATGGTCCGGGGTCCCTTCACCTTTACCTTTATATATCACTTAGAACAGGGGTCGGCAAGGTTTACCTCGCGGAGATCGCTCTGCGGGCCGGATCACGTCTGCGTAGACGTGATTTCCGGTGTCTGCGCAGACACGATTTCCAGTGCCATGGAAGCAAGTCCCCACTCTGCGCTGCGCCACTTTAGCGCAGCGTGTGGGGACTCGCCAAGTGGGCGGCTCAGTTTGGGGGCAGTTTAAACGACCCCCATGACAGAACAAACTTTCCACAGTACTAACAAACAAGAGAACATTGCAAAAGTAGTGAAACGCTGTGTATATTTATAATTTGACCAAAGGTTTTAACCCAAAGTTAGCAACTCTCTGCTATCCATCTTCCTTCCCACTCCACACCATCCCACTGTCATTATTCTGAATCATGCTGTCAGTCAACCATTGGGTGCCCGGAAATCTTGACTTGGTCACAAGTGACCAACAGCCGGGTGCAAAATGTGCCATAGCTAGGGTTCGAAATTAGCAGGGCGCCAGGAGCATTTTGCGCCTAAAGATTCTCCATTTGCGAGCACCTCCAAAAGTCTGGGTGCCATTTTTTGCGCCTGACACTCAAGGATTACTGAAATGTATGTGCTTTGAAGCCTCAAAGTATATGTTAAGGATAGGCAATATGTTAAAGAGTTTAACAATAAAGGGTAGAGTGTTTTGAAAACGGAAGTAAGGTACCAATATATTTATTGTAAACACCAAATTAAACATGTATTAACGATTTCTGTTAAAAATGTGATATTAACAATGCGTCACTTATGTGACCCGTGTATTAATTCGTGCTTATAAAAATAAATAAATAAAAAGTTTTGCTGACCCTCCCCCTCAAAATGGCGACTAGATATTCTGTTTTGGCACCCACAACCCAGATCCCAGGCCTAGCTTTTCCATCCCAGTTTCAAACACAGCGCCTGTGAAAATTAAGTGGAATTTTCATATTTTAAAAAATGAGGCTGGTCTCATTTGGTGTGCTTGTTTCATCGTCTTTATTAAACAAAGCAAAAACCTTGAAGCTGCCAACCTTGCTTAATATTTATTATCATAGTTACTAATGAAATGGGAAATTTTTTGCTTAGCGATAAAGCACTGGAAAAACATTCCAACCTGCAGCACTCAGCCCAAGCTGGAAGAAAACAGTTCTCAGCTGCAGGAGCTGTGCACAGCTCTCATTTGTTGTCCATTCTGTCAATCAGAAAGTTGCCCCGCCCTCACCCAGGCAGATTTTCCAAATATTTTTTAAAGGAAATGATGGCGGGGTGGGGAGTAGTAGTAGTAGTAGTAATCGGCCAAAGAATGCTTAAGCAGAGAGATATGCAAGGCGCTAAGAGGAGAATGTAAATAGTCTGCTTAAAGCTTAAATCTCAACTTCCATCTTTTCCATGAAGCCTTTGGCACGTGATTCGTGCTGTTGACGACCATACCTGTTTGCCTAACAGACTCTAAATGCTCGTGATTTGCAGAAAATAATATACATCCCAGCTAGGGTGCCGAACCTGAACAGTCAAACACTGCTAAACATATGTGGCTTAATTTAAAGAATTCATTGCCATTTCGGAGTCTTGGTGGTCTAAGTTCTTTGGTGCTACTCTTAAGAAAATCCAGACCCCTCCTGCCCCCACCAAGTTGTTGAAGGTTGCATCCAGGCAACAGATACCACAGACAGTTCCTCCACTGGCAGCAGTGAGCAGAGTGCCCTGGAATGAGGCGTTTTGCAGGTGGGGTGCCCAGATCTAAACCCCCACGGAGAAGGAAAGCAATATATGATTCTTCGTATAAATATACAAATAATGCAAAATAATGATTTAGGCAGTGCTATTTTTATAGACCATAAAGCTGGACCATAAAGAAGGCTGATCGCCAAAGAATTGATGCTTTGGAATTATGGCGCTGGAGGAGACTCTTGAGAGTCCCATGGACTGCAAGAAGATCAAACCTATCCATTCTGAAGGAAATCAGCCCTGAGTGCTCACTGGAAGGACAGATCCTGAAGCTGAGGCTCCAATACTTTGGCCACCTCATGAGAAGAGAAGACTACCTGGAAAAGACCCTGATGTCAGGAAAGACTGAGGGCACAAGGAAAAGGAGACGGTTGGACAGTGTTCTCGAAGCTACCAGGATGAGTTTGACCAAACTGCGGGAGGCAGTGGAAGACAGGAGTGCCTGGCGTGCTCTGGTCCATGGGGTCATGAAGACACGACTAAACGACTAAACAACAACAATTTTTCTAGAAAAAGAGGTGCCGGAACTCACCATGAACACCTCCCTCGATCTCTTAGAATGGCAATGGCACCCACATGAGAGATGCCAGAACTGAGTTCTGGATGAAAAAAAGCCCTGCATTTTAGGGTAAAAATACTTCAACAGGCTTTAGTTCAACATATCAGATACAGAGTCATGCATTTAGGTTTAAGAGATTATAAATCAGACTAACATGTTTTCATTTGCATTAAAACTGAGCTTTCCTTTTTGCACCAGGTTATCTAAAAATAAACTTAAACCTGTTTTGCGGCTTTAAAAACAATCAAACATACAAAAAAGAACTGATACCATACATATATTATATACAAGATATTATATACATATATAATAGCTCCGGGCCTGAACACTGAGGTCCGTCCGAAGGCCTTCTGGAGGATCCCTCACTGTGAGAAGTGAGGTTATAGGGAACCAGGCAGAGATCCTTCTCAGTAGCGGCACCTGCCCTGTGGAACACCCTCCCATCAGATGCCAAGGAGATAAATAACTATACAACGTTTAGAAGACATCTGAAGGCAGCCCTGTATAGGGAAGTTTTTAATGTATGAAGTTTTACTGTGGTTTAATAATTGTTTGAACTAGGGACGCGGGTGGCGCTGTGGTCTGAACCACTGAGCTTGCCAATCGGAAGGTCGGCAGTTCGAATCCCCGCAACGGGGTGAGCTCCTGTTGCTCAGTCCCAGCTCCTGCCAACCTAGCACGTCAAAGTGCAAGTAGATAAATAGGTACCGCTCCAGCGGGAAGGTAAACGGTGTTTCCGTGTGCTGCTCTGTTTTCGCCAGAAGCGGCCTAGTCATGCTGGCCAAATGACTCGGAAAAACTGTCTGTGGATAAACACCGGCTCCCTCAGCCAGTAAAGCGAGATGAGCGCCGCAACCCCAGAGTCGTTCGCGACTGGACTTAACTGTCAGGGGTCCTTTACCTTTACCTTTTTAATAATTGTTTGAAGCCATCCAGAGTGATTGAGGCAACTCAGTCAGATGGGCAGGGCATAAGTAATTTATGATTATGAATATGAATATTACCCCTGTAGCATGGAATGCCCTTCCCATGCCATACATGAAGCAGCAATTACCAGTTGCTTCAAATGTCTTATAATATCATATCTTTATGTCCAGCCTCTCCCTCAGCAGTAAGGTTGGGTCCTGTTTTATATCTGCAAATTCCCCCAAATCCGTGTTTTTATATGCGCCCTTATACTGATGTTTTCCTGTTTTTATGTTGTAAGCTGCTTGGGTGTTTTTTCTTTTTTTAAAGGTAAGCGCTGTGATGGCACATTCACACATTCAAGTCAGCTACTGTCACAGATAGTATATATACAGACAGATATATAAGGATCAACACAGAAGAACCACCAGGGGGGTGAGCTTCAACCTCCGCCAAATGACAGGGGTTTTTTTTCTTTTCTTTTCTTAATAAATCTTTATTAATCTTTTTCACAATACAGGCATACCTTGGAATTCGAACAGAATCAGTTCCGCAAGTCCATTCGGCTTCCAAAACAGTTCAGAAACCAAGGCACGGCTTCCGATTGGCTGCAGGAAGCTCCTGCAGCCAACGGAAGCCGCGGACGTCGCAACGGACGTTCGGGTTTCCAAAGAACATTCACAAACCGGAACAATCACTTCCGGGTTTGTGGCATTCGGGACCCAAAACATTTGACTTGCAAGACGTTCAAGATCCAAGGTACGACTGCACAGGAAAAGACATGCCAATCCACACCAAGAATAACAAATAAAGAAAGAATGATAGAAAAATACAAGGTTCCCCCTCACACAAACTTGGGAACATCCCTTTCTTCTCTCCTCACCCTGGGAGATCTCACTTTCCCTGTCTCTCACACAAGTTCCTTCAAACTGTCCGTCATCTTCATCTGAACACTGCATACCAAGTTTCCAGAGACCGCCTCAACGCACACCATGCCTTGCGCCAGCCAGAAACTTTTAAAAGTTTCGACCTGAGCAAAAATGCACCAGGCAGCACACAAGGAAAAAGGCCAGCCAGCGGCGAGGAACATTGCAGCTTTGTGAGGCAACAAGATACGGCACACATTTTTATTGAATGCCTGCAGTAACAGGAGCACCCGTTTAAAAGGGCAGCAAACTGGTGTGCGACCGTAAGCCGTTTTTGTGGAAGGAGAGGGTCAAATCCTTTCCCGGTTCCCCCAAACATCAAAGCCACAGGTCACTGGGATGGGGTTTTGGCCCATTCCTTGATTGTCCACCAGGAAAAGGTGTAAATAGAACAGGTTTGTGATCAGATACGCCATTGCTTTGAAGGGAGTTTGGTTTGTCTTCCAGGCCTCTGACGTTATGCTGCTCTACGGCACCCCAATGCTATTCGGCTGCTCTGGGAGGAGGAGGAAGTGGAGCAGCTTGCATTCACACAGCTGAGCAAGAGATAATCAGATGAAGCAATGTTCCATGTAATCTAGTCACTCAACGTTTTGCTGGAGACATCTGCCTTCAGAGCATCCCAGCCCCCAATTTGTCTGCCTTCAAGGACGCAAGCAGAAGCCAGGGAGAGGATGGAGTAACAAAGGGACATACAGGCCTTTCCACCAGCATTTCATAGAATCATAGTTGGAAGGATCACCCAGGGTCATCGAATACAACCCCCTGCAATGAATACAGGAATCTTTCACCCAACGTGGGGTTCGAACCCACGACCTTGAGATGAAGAACATCATGCTCTAATGACTGAGCCATCGCTCTCAAACTTGGGTCCCCAGCTGTCGTTGAGACGACAACTCCCAGCATCCGTGAACACTGGTCTTGCTAGCTAAATACTGCCTACACTGATTGGCAGTAGCTCTCCCAAGGATTCAGAAAAGGTTTTCTCCTAGCTTACCAGGAAATGCCAGGGACTTTATTTAATTATTGCATAGATGGCGCACATTGTCCTCCTCCCCACTTCTCATTTAAACCCTACAACAACCCTGTGAGGTGGGTTAGGATGAGAGGCACCTGGACACTGAGATCCAGCACCGAGGGCCTTCTGGCGGTTCCCTCATTGCGAGAAGTGAGGTTACAGGGAACCAGACAGAGGGCCTTCTTGGTAGTGGCGCCCGCCCTGTGGAACACCCTCCCCTCAGATGTGAAGGAAATAAGCAGCTATCTTCTCTTTAAAAGACATCTGAAGGCAGCCCTGTTTAGGGAAGTTTTTAATATTTAATGCTGTATTGTTTTTAACACTTGATTGGAAGTCGCCCAGAGTGGCTGGGGAAACTCAGCCAGATGGGCGGGGTATAAATTATTATTATTATTATTATTATCATCATCATCATCATCATCATCATCACTGGTCCAAGATGAGCTTTGTGGCCGAGTGATGGGGTCCCAGTCCAACGTTGGCTTTGCATGGTATCCTCGAGAGAGAGAAAAGGAGAGAAAAGGAGTAAACCCTACACAAATCCGGAGTCCCTAAGATGGTTGGATAGTGCCTTGTACGCCTCCCTCCAGCAACTCCTACAGCCAAGCTGGTGCCAAACGTATTGCTCTGCTTTCCTTTGGACCACATCAGCGAGACTGAGAGGAGAGTCTTGTTGTCTGGGCAGCCCAAGACCTCCATACACACTGCCCAGGCTTGTGTCCCGGGGGGGCGGGTCACTTTAGTGCTGCTAAAACAGCAGTTTGACTTCACCCCTGGAGGTGCACTCCATTGTCTCTCGAGACAGACAGATGCCAACAACAACAACAACCAAAATTAATGGCTAGAAGGGGCTCCCGCTGCTTTGCCCTGCTCCTATCCCAGGAAGTTCCGCCTCCCTCTGGCGCACAACAAAATGTTGAGTGATGTTGCTTTTTGCCAAGGCTTTGGCTGCACAGATAAGTAATATTCATATTTTGAGTGCTGCAGCTAGGTAGATAAAGGCATTTCAACCCCAAGGCCTTATGAAGGCGTGACGTTAACTGGGATCCAGAGCATCGCAAATGTGTACTCTGTGCCCTCACATACTCTTGATTGCCACCCGCAACTTCCTGTAGGGAAGGGAATGCAGCTCAGCGATGCATGCAAAAGTTTCCAAGTTCAGTCTACGGCAGACTCTGCTCAGCAGCAGTCAGGAAGATGCCCATCTCAGAACCGAACACACTGCTCTTTGGAAACACGGGGTTCCCCTGGGGTGACCAAAAATGGCTCATGTGCCGCGGTGGTAACGAAATCAGATTCGGCTCCTAGACAGGTTTCCACCACCGACATCACTCTGCTGTGCAGATTCACTGGGGCATTGTGATATTTGCATGCAACGGGCTCCGGAGGAACAGCACTGCACAGAGGAGGCCTTTTAAAGTTGTGTCAGTAGCCGCCGCTGCAATTGGCAGAAGGCCAGACTGTGAAGCCAAGAGTCAAACTTCCAGTACTATTTGAATTATTTAACCCCTCCTCCTTTTAAACAAAAAAAAAAACCCCAAACACTTCTTGATGTTAAAAATACAGACCTGGTAGCTCCACACTGAAAATTTCAATTAAAAACAGTGTTTCTGGGGCCGGGGTGGGGGGTTGGAGAGCACCATGCAAGCGTTTCCCACGACTGCCTCAAAAAAAAAAAAAGGCAACCTGTTCGATCTCTGAAATTGCTATTAATTGCATTCATATCCAAGCAATCTTGCTCCAACAAACTGAAGGAAATGTACATGATTCACACACACACACACAGAGGGGGGGGGCTTTTTATCCTCACCATAAACCTGTAAGATAAGGACAGGCTCAGAGATTGTCACTTTAACACAGTCAGTCAGCTCTATAGCTGATGGAGGATCTGAACCCGGGTCTCTGCAATCCCTAGTCCAACCCTGCCTTCCCCAACTTTGTGCCTTCCAGATTTTCTTGGAGCAGAGCTCCCACCATCCCTGACCACTAAGTCCAGGCTAGCTGGGACTGGTGGAAGCAGAGGTGTAGTGGTCTGGGGTCAAGGGGGGGAGTGTCAAAGACCCGGTAATACGTGTTTTTTGCTCTATAAGTTGCACTTTTCCCCTCCTAAAAAGTAATGGAAATGTTGTGTGCGTCTTATGGAGCAAATACAGGCAGGAGGCTCTTCTCAGCGCTCCCTTTAAAGAGCCGCACACACGCTCCGCGCGCTCTTTAAAGGGAGCACGACTCTTGGGGAGCCTTCATCCCGCTGCCCGAGAGAGGCTGCACGCGGCTATCCCATAAGCCAGGACAGCAAGCGGGATCGCTGCACAGCAATCCCGCTTGCTGTCCTGGCTTCTGGGATTCAGAATATTTTTTTTCTTGTTTTCCTCCTCCAAAAACTATGTGCGTCTTATGGTCTGGTGCACCTTATAGAACGAAAAATACGGTATTTCCTCAGCAGCATCCCTGTCTCTAATGTCCTAGACCTGCCCAATCAACATGCAAGGAGAGATTTTTTGCCACCCTGAGCTCCAAAGCATTTAGGTCCCCTGAAAACAGTGTTAGAAACTCATTTTGGTTGCTGAAATTCATTCTGATTGTGCAGATGAAATATAATGGATTGAATTCTACAGGATGTGTTGCTGGTGTGTGAACACGGTCAAGATCCGAGGGTCTCCAGGCATGCACCTCCAGATGGTGGGGACATCAAGTGGTTGCAAGTTGCCGATAGCTAGGTGCAAAATGCACCTGGCGATATTTGAAAGCTGCCTGAAAATGCAAGGTGTTTCAGCTTCGAGGGAATGGTGCGCAAGTTTCTGCTGTGTACAACTTTGCAGGAAACACAACTCAAGTCACCTGCCAAAATATATATTTGTGCACTCCACAACATTTGCCCATGTTCGCGTACAGAAAATAGCAGACTTAGCTGAAAGGCAACACTCGCATATCTGCATTAATCATTGCAGTGCATGCCTAATTGTTATTATTGTGCAATTATAAGATGACTACATAACTTTATAAAGTTGCATAATCTGAGATGGGGTGTGGCTGTGAGTTGACTACCAGGAGGGAACCTGGGCTTCTGAACTTGCCACTACACTTCAGATTGGAAATTGTAATCCAACACTGCCTGGTCGCGGGGGAGCGCCTGAGCATCCTCTAGCCATTGTACCACATTGGCTCTTTCAAGACTTCTTGAGAGCTGCAAAAACAAATGAGCTTTTAATCTGCTGTGCTTTCAATGTGCCCGGCTGGACGCCCCCCCATCTTTTGGCCACAATCTCCCTATTCCACTAATGAACCCTCCAGTTCTGCTGTCAACTCCCCAAGTGTTGCGAAACTGGATTTTTTTCAATTAAAAATATATTTTTTAAAAATATATAAATCAGAACATATTCCTCTTACGGAGACTGCTCAATACCTGCACTGAGTTAGACCTGCCTAGCAACAAGTTGGGAGCCACAGACTCGCATCTTCCTCCTTGCGTTCCCATGGCTACTGTCACCCATGGTGAATTCAGCAGCTACACACAATCAGCAGCGAGGTCCCAGGAGGACCACAGAGAACGGAGGAGAGAGAAAATGCCAGCAGTGGTATAAATAAGCGTCCAGGTGGACTCGCCCCTCTCTTGTCCCCGCCAAAGCAAGAGCTCAGAAACCAGCTTCCCACAAGCGCCTATGGAATGCAGGGTGTTTTTCACAAAAGACATGATGAGGCATCTCCGACATACACAAAGATTTACAAGTATTGCAAAAGCGGGGAGGTTGAGAGAGAAACGAAGAAGGCGCGAGAGAGAAGCATCCCCAGGTCTGCAGAACTGCTGCGAGTCAACTCGTTGTGCAAAGAAACACCAGAAGCTGCCTAAGTAAGAAGGACTTGCAGTTTCAGCTTGGTCCGAATCGTTTGGAAGCTGAGAAGCAGCTTTATTCAGAGACAGAACCACTGGTTTGTCCGTATTGTCTACATGGATAGGCAGCAAGTTTTTCCAAGTGGGACATTCCCAGCCCTGCCTGGGGAGATGCTGGAGATTTAACCTTCTGCATGAAAAGCATGCATTTCTGCCACTGAGCTATACAGAACTTATTCGCCATGGGGCACCTCCGAAATGCTGTTTACAAATCTACAATTACATAAGGACAGGCTACAACAAAGAAGCTATCCCCCCCCTTTTTTTTCTAAAATTAGGATGCTGGGATGAAAAAAAGCTTGTAAGGGAAACCAGGAGGGTTGGTGTGTTGTTGTTTTTTGGTGGGGGCTTGTTTCAGTCACAGCAGCTCACTTTCAGTACCATCTCCTGGGCTGAGCATGTTCTCAGAGGCAGCCTGCTCTTTAATTCCACAAGTGTGTTTGCTGCTCCTGCCTCTCCCACTGCCGCCACGAGAAGTGGCTGTCTGCACCAACTTCTCACAGTTAGTGGAACCTGGGGTTCTAGCAAAACCAAGCTTGAAAGTAGCCCCCACTGGCCTGAAGTCTGCCTGGTACTTGCTTGGAAAGCTTCAAGGGGGAGTATAACGAGGGGAAGGCCTAACCATGATATAATGGGTATGGGGTTGCTCGTGCGTAAGTTGCCGCCTCTCCTGGCTATGTTGCCTTGTTAAACCTTTCTGTCTGGACAGCCCTTCAATTCGTGGCTGCCTCAGTCGCTAGCAGAATCCGTCAGTGGGCGTTTCTTAAACCTTCTCCAACATAAAAGTTGTTTGACACCCAGTCTCCTCCTACTCTCTCTGCGCGGAAGTCTTCTGCGCAGGGAGGGCGTGGGTAGCGGAGGACCAGTGCTCTCCCCGCTGGCGTCCGGTGAAAAGTCTGGGAGCCCTCTCGCCGATTCCCCCATCTGCCCCTCCTTATTCCTGGTGTTGC